AATCCTGCATTAGTTTTGAGTTTTCTTGATACCAGTGGTTGAAAGAACAGAAGCTCCAAATGCAATGACCTCTCAGTTAAATGGAATTTTTACTGCTGTTGTCCCCCTTCGAATGTATTGATAACACTGAAGAGTAAATGCCCTACTTGCATTTCACAGTACCATATTATGCCTTACACTTAATCATCCATTATTAGAACTCTGCTACCTAAGGGTGGTGCAGAAATAAGATTCACCTTGTGTGTGCAAACAACACATCTGTTCAGCCTGCCCTCCAACCTCTGAATCAGGACCTGCATTAAGGTCCTCAGGTCTGAGGGATCCTGATCTTGCAGATTCTTAAGCCAAAGTGACTTTGCAGCTCATTTTTTAGTTCTTCTTTACAAACTTTTTTTTCCCAATCTAAATGGATGAAGGATTTTAATTATAAGAGAAAACAAAGTTATTAAGGGAAGAGGTATCTTCTAGACTTCCAGTCTGTGACTGATGATTTTTAAGTTAGAAAGGAATTGATTGCTGTGCTATTTCATTCACCCTGTGTTTATTCATCTTCCAACTTAACTGTGAGCTTCCTGTGTGCAGGATCATGTCTTAGATACCTAAATCCTTGAAGCCTCTCCTGATGTCTAACACACAGTAGGTGCTTCAAAAACCTCAAATGGGCAAAAAAAAAATCTGACCATCACTTGTCGGAGTTATAGCCACCTTTAGAGTTCAAGCTTAAGGTTCCGCTCCTCCATAAACATTTCTTTAGTTATTGCATACATGCTCTCCATCTGCTCATTAGTTGATATTTAACACACACAAACATCTTTAGACATCAATTATCTTTATTTTGTATCTCTCATTACCCCATCAAAGATGTAAGAAACTGCTTCATTGTATATATTTCATATTACCTTGTAGAGAATGCATTCAAATACTTATTATTAAGATATTTTGAAAAATAGAACTTCAGTTAAAAAAAAACAAGTCTTGATTTTCCCTCAAGCATTGTTCTAAATTGCCAAAATTAATGAGATACCAATATTTAGGCAGCTTTTCCAGCGACTCATTTTTCTTTTAAAAACATCTGTTTTGATATAAAAATGCTTTGTAATTTTCAAATGATGAGTGGCACCTTACCTCAACTCAAGATTTTGGGAATATATGTAAAAATTTATAAATTTTGAATGCATAGTGATATATATATATATATATATATATATATATATATATATATAAATAAAATTTTGAATCCTGATAGTGTTATACATAGACCATTATTTACATTTTAAAGTTAATTGTAGACACTGCTTAAAAGTGCACCTATGACATGTAAAATTTTAACTTCTTCAGTCCTAACTGTATTTATGGTATCAAAATGGCTCTGGTAATGTTTTCAATGAATCATTATTTCAGCCCTCTTTTGAAATGCACTTTACCCATTTATTATCTAAGCCGTCTCTCACTGTCCTATAGATGGCAGCATTGAGCAATGTATTTTAGTAATGGGTTGTTTTTCCTTTCCAGTGAATTTTCAGTTAGAAGTAAATTTTTCATGCAGTGTATTTCATTACAATACACCACAAGACAAATTTAGCGTAAGGTGACAGGATAATACATGTATCCACTCAATGTTACTTCACTTAGATTCCACTAAAGCACCTCTTTCTATTCTGTATATTATATGAACCAAATGTGAACTTGGATTTTCAGAGTTCTCTCAATCCAGTAATAATAATAATAATAATAATAATAATAATAATAATAATAATAATAATAATAAAAAGATAGAGAACAATTGAACTTATTATACTATAATTTAATAAATATTAATCACCTTTAACATTGGTAGTAAAACATTAGCAAACTGAAAAAATGGCAAAAACCCTATTTTCAGTGATTGTTTTCCATATGAAATTCATTGGTCTGAAGAGAAATTGTCACAGCAATTTTGTTTATTTCATGAATTCTTTGAGATATTTTAGCCACATGAATTATGTTTTTTTAAAAATTAGTTGCATTTGGACACCTTTATTTTATTTATTTTTATGTGGTGCTGAGGATCGAACCCAGCGCTTCATACGTGCAAGGTAAGCGCTCTACGCAGAGCCACAATCCCAGCCCATAAATTATGTTTTTAAAACAGAAATCCCTTACTACTGAGAGACATATTTTTAAAAGCTTTTATAATAGTATTATATGATCACAATCTTAACCATCCTGTTAAGATTAACTGTAATATTTGTAAATTAAATAGGCTTTCAAGGTCTCCCTTCCTCCCATAGAAGTACATCCCCTTTATTTAGACTTGGGGTAGGGCGGTAGTAGGGCAGAGGTTATTCAGAAAATAAACGTCTACGGATTTGAATTGTTTTCCTACAAAATGTGAAACACGTGCCCCCTCCAGCGCTAAACATCAAACCTGTGAAAAGTCCTTTGGCCTTACCTAGACTCTTTTTTCTTGCCTAGGGTAAAAACCTCCTACACAGTTACACTTCTGCACTACTTCAGGCTTCTGTATTTCGCAGACTCCTCTTCTACCCTCCCCGCATAAAGCACTTCCTAAACCCAGAATTTCAATCCCTGTTATTGCCGCCTGGTTACCATTTCCAAATTGTCTGCTATTTATAGCCTTTCTGTAGTGGGCACGTGTGCCCACATCACCAAGCTGTCAGAGTAAAAGAAGGGAAGGCTTTCAATTCAACATGTGTACTCCAATCATACTTTAACCAGCTTTAGAAGAAGCGGCATGGTGGCAAGGAACACGAAGGTGAGCGGAGAAATGAGAGACTTCTCGGCTACGGTGGGGAGAAGCCCCTCTATAGATGCTGGAACCCCCAGCTCACGTATTGCAAGCCGATGAATGGCGCCTAGGGTCCTTGTTCTTCTTCTTCTTCTTTTTTTTTTAAACTACGCTTTGCAACCTACCTTGGTACCCTCACCGTCCTCCCCACCACCGCTGCAGTGCAGGGTTTGAAAGACAGGCAGCTTCGCCAATCAGCAGGCTTCCACAGGAAATTCGCCCCGCCTCTCACCCCGCATTAGGCCAAGGCACCCTCCCCGGAGACCCAGACAGTCCTGGCCATTGAGCATGCCCAGCTAGTGGACTGCTGCGTTTCCCCGCGAGCATCCTGCAGTGCTTAAGCAAGAGGCTGAGGTGGGTTCCTGGAGCAGAAAGGGGGCGGAAACCCCAAACAGGCCAGGACTGGAGTTGGAAAACAAAATACCATTAAACCCAGCGACACGCGTCATCTCTGTAGGTCTTTAATACCAGCTGGGAAAGCAGGGACAATCTGCTTGTTTATAGGTCACCTTAAAAAAATAACCCCCCAAACCAAAAACTTTGGGGAGCTTTTGCTTGTGGTGAGACAAATACCGCAAGGTAACCAAGCAAGAGGCTGTGCAACTAGACACAGGCTGCTGACCTGTTCTAACTCATGAAGTACTCATTTTCCTGTACAGTTGAGCTGGCACTATCCTTGTTTTCTCCCGCTTATCCTTGTGGTCAAGGTTAAAAATTTATAGGGTGGTTCAATGGGTGTGGAAGCTGTGTGTGAAACAAACATTTCAACCAATATTTGCACAGTAGGGTTTTGGCCTTACGAACCCTCGTAGGTCCCTAGCATCCTTTTAAAATAAAATTGACTTGGGATTATGATGAGGGGTATCTCTTTTGCCCTTACCCCTACGTGTGACTCCCTGTTTTCTAGAACGGCAGGGGAAGAGGGAGAAATTGTGATATTTACATGTTCTCCCTAATTGAACAGCAGCTAAAGCCACAGTGCCAGACGTGAGGCGCTTGCCGGGAAATTCCTGTTCTCTGGAGTGACCTTAACCCCCCCAATCACTGCCCTTGGGCATCCCTCTTCCTACAAGGTACCTGGAGGCAGCCAATCTGGGGACTCCAAGGTGGAAGGCTAGCCCTGAAGTCCCTTAGAAAAACCTTACAAAAAGCTAGATCTGCTTACCACGGCCTATCCCCCTGAAGCCGAAATACACCTTTTTATTTCCGGGGAGGAAAAACCTTGACTAGAAACCTCTACCCGAGGGGTCCCTCTTACCTGTTAGGTAAGATCTAGCCCAGCTCCGGGGCCCCCCTCCTCCCCGGCCCTCCCACGCCGGGCTCCGCAGCCGCAGTGCCCCCCCGCCCGTCACCCCCCACCCTCACTCCTGCGTCTTCCCGAGCTCGCCCCCTCCCGTTTTCCCAGACTCCCCTCGTGTTTTCGGGTAGCCACCCAAACACCCCCGCGAGCGCGGGGCCGAGGGGATTCCTGCGGGCCGGGGGCGCCCTAGGTGGTGCGAGGGCAGCTAGGTGCTGCGCCCCAGCGGACGGCCGCGGAGGGGCGCTGCCCGAGCGCAGCGCAGAGGCCCGGCGCGGCGCCGCTGCGGCACGGCCGGGGGGCGGAGAGGGGCGGGCGCGGGGCGGGCTCGGCCCGGAATGTGTAGAGACCCGGGCGGGAGCCTCCCGGAGGCTGCCCGGCTGCCGAGCGCGGAGACTCCGTCACGTGTTTTTCTCCTCCGAGTGAGACGGCGGCGCGGTCGGAGGGGGCCGGCGCGCAGAGCCAGACGCCGCCGCTTGTTTTGGTTGGGGCTCTCGGCAACTCTCCGAGGAGGAGGAGGAGGAGGGAGGGAGAAGTAACTGCAGCGGCAGTGCCTCCCGGGGAACAGGCGTCTTCCCCGAATCCTTCCCAAACCTCCCCCTCTGCCTCCCTCCCTAGTCCCCTCCCCTCCTCCCTTGCCGACTGGAGCGAGGGGCAGGGATGAGCTTGTCCCTCTGGACCGTCTCCGGCTCCCGCGTCTGCCCAGTAGCGTTTCGCGTGGAAAAGCCACTTTCCCCGCCCGCCGAGATGGGCTCGAATGAGGGCTGCGGAGGACGCGTCCGCGGGCGGCGGCAGCAGCAGCAGCAGCAACAGCCGCAGCGCCGCGGTCTCTGCGATTGAGCTGGTATTTGGGCGGCTGGTGGCGGCGGGGACGGTTGGGGGGGTGGGAGGAGGCAAAGGAGGAGGCGAAGGAGGAGGAGGGAGAACCCCGTGCAACGTTGGGACTTGGCAGCCCGCCTCCCCCTGCCCAAGGATATTTAATTTGCCTCGTGAATCGCTACTTCCAGAGAGGAACTCAGGAGGGAAGGCGTGCGCGCCTGCAGGGGCACCACAGGGACCCGCTGGCCGCCGCTGCCTTCCTGCGCGGGACTTAAGCTGAGGCGGCTAGAGATGCATCTTAGCTCCTTCCTGGCTGCAGTGGTTGAGGGGACACTTGGCTTTCGGGAAGATCGTGGCCGCATTCACCCTGGACGCATTGCCTCCCCTCTGGGCATAAAACGCCCATAAACTCCAGTCGGCTCTCTTCCTTGGCGCAGCCACTGCAGGGGACGGCGTGGATTTAGGAGTCGGGGTTTCTTCAGCCTTCAGCCTTGTTTGCATGTGCGGGGCCGCGGTGAGGAGCCTCCGCCCCCCAACTAGTTGTTTTTCGGCGCCTCCTTTTGCTCAGCGGCTTTGGCGGTGGCGGTGGCGGCAGCATGGCGAGTCCTCCAGATACCGAAGGTTTCTCGGACGTGCGCAAGGTGGGCTACCTGCGCAAGCCCAAGAGCATGCACAAGCGCTTCTTCGTGCTGCGGGCGGCCAGCGAGGCCGGGGGCCCTGCGCGCTTGGAGTACTACGAGAACGAGAAGAAGTGGAGGCACAAGTCGAGCGCCCCCAAACGCTCGATCCCCCTCGAGAGCTGCTTCAACATCAACAAACGTGCTGACTCCAAGAACAAGCACCTGGTGGCTCTCTATACCCGGGACGAGCACTTTGCCATTGCTGCGGACAGTGAGGCTGAGCAAGACAGCTGGTACCAGGCTCTCCTGCAGCTGCACAACCGTGCCAAAAGCCACCACCACGAAGGGGCCTCAGCCCCTGGAGCAGGAGGCAGTGGTAGCTGCAGTGGCAGCTTGGGCCTCGGCGAGGCTGGAGAGGACTTGAGCTATGGAGATGGGCCAGGACCTGCGTTTAAGGAGGTCTGGCAGGTGATCTTGAAGCCCAAGGGCCTGGGTCAGACAAAGAACCTCATTGGTATCTACCGCCTCTGCCTGACCAGCAAGACCATTAGCTTTGTGAAGCTGAACTCAGAGGCAGCGGCTGTGGTGCTACAGCTAATGAACATCAGACGCTGCGGCCACTCTGAAAACTTCTTTTTCATTGAGGTGGGCCGTTCTGCTGTGACAGGGCCTGGGGAGTTCTGGATGCAGGTGGATGACTCGGTGGTGGCCCAGAACATGCATGAGACTATCTTGGAGGCCATGCGGGCCATGAGTGATGAGTTTCGCCCTCGAAGCAAGAGCCAGTCCTCATCCAACTGCTCCAACCCCATCAGTGTCCCCTTGCGCAGGCACCATCTCAACAACCCCCCGCCCAGCCAGGTGGGGTTGACCCGCAGATCACGCACTGAAAGCATCACTGCCACCTCCCCTGCCAGTATGGTAGGTGGGAAGCCAGGATCCTTCCGTGTGCGCGCCTCCAGCGATGGTGAAGGCACCATGTCCCGCCCAGCCTCTGTGGATGGCAGCCCTGTGAGTCCTAGCACCAACAGAACCCACGCCCACCGGCATCGGGGCAGCTCCCGGCTGCACCCGCCTCTCAACCACAGTCGCTCCATCCCCATGCCTTCTTCTCGCTGCTCGCCTTCGGCAACCAGCCCAGTTAGTCTATCGTCCAGCAGCACCAGTGGCCATGGTTCCACTTCGGACTGTCTGTTTCCAAGGCGGTCTAGTGCTTCCGTGTCTGGTTCCCCCAGTGATGGCGGTTTCATCTCTTCAGATGAGTATGGCTCTAGCCCCTGCGACTTCCGAAGTTCCTTCCGCAGTGTCACTCCAGATTCCTTGGGCCACACCCCACCAGCCCGAGGCGAGGAGGAGCTGAGCAATTATATATGCATGGGTGGAAAGGGGGCCTCCACTCTAACAGCTCCCAATGGTCATTACATTTTGTCCCGAGGTGGTAATGGCCACCGGTACATCCCAGGAGCTGGCTTGGGCACCAGCCCAGCGTTGTTGACCGGGGATGAAGCTGCCAGTGCTGCTGATCTGGATAATAGGTTCCGGAAGAGAACCCACTCTGCAGGGACATCCCCTACCATTTCCCACCAGAAGACCCCATCCCAGTCCTCAGTGGCTTCCATTGAGGAGTATACAGAGATGATGCCTGCCTATCCGCCAGGAGGTGGCAGTGGAGGCCGACTGCCTGGCTACAGGCACTCTGCCTTCGTGCCCACCCATTCCTACCCTGAGGAGGGTCTAGAGATGCATGCCTTGGAGCACCGCAGCAGCCACCATCGCCCAGATAGTTCCACCCTCCACACTGATGATGGATACATGCCCATGTCCCCAGGAGTGGCCCCAGTGCCCAATAGCCGGAAGGGCAGTGGGGATTATATGCCCATGAGCCCCAAGAGCGTGTCTGCCCCGCAGCAGATCATCAACCCCATCAGACGTCATCCCCAGAGAGTGGACCCCAATGGCTACATGATGATGTCCCCCAGTGGCAGCTGCTCCCCTGACATTGGAGGTGGGTCCAGCAGCAGCAGCAGCATCAGTGCCGCCCCTTCTGGCAGTAGCTATGGGAAGCTATGGACAAATGGGGTCAGTGGGCACCACTCTCATGCCCTGTCTCACCCCAAGCCCCCTGTGGAGAGTGGGGGTGGCAAGCTCTTGCCTTGTACAGGTGACTACATGAACATGTCACCAGTGGGGGACTCCAACACCAGCAGCCCCTCTGACTGCTACTATGGCCCTGAGGATCCCCAGCACAAGCCAGTCCTTTCCTACTATTCATTGCCAAGGTCTTTTAAGCACACCCAGCGCCCTGGGGAGCCAGAGGAGGGTGCCCGGCACCAGCATCTCCGCCTCTCCTCTAGCTCTGGTCGCCTTCTCTACACTGCAACTGCAGAAGATTCTTCTTCCTCCACCAGCAGCGACAGCCTGGGTGGGGGTTACTGTGGGGCTAGGCCAGAGCCTGGCCTCCCACATCCCCACCATCATGTCTTGCAGCCCCATTTGCCTCGAAAAGTGGACACAGCTGCTCAGACCAACAGCCGCCTGGCCCGGCCCACAAGGCTATCTTTGGGGGATCCCAAGGCCAGCACCTTGCCTCGGGCTCGAGAACAGCAACAGCAGCAGCCCCTACTGCACCCTCCGGAGCCCAAAAGCCCAGGGGAATATGTGAATATTGAATTTGGGAATGACCAGCCTGGCTACTTATCTGGCCCTATGACTTCCCGCAGCTCACCTTCTGTTCGGTGTCCATCCCAGCTCCAGCCAGCTCCCAGAGAGGACGAGACTGGCACTGAGGAGTACATGAACATGGACTTGGGGCCAGGCCGGAGGGCAACCTGGCAGGAGAGCAGTGGGGGGGAGATGGGCAGAGTGGGCCCTGCACCTCCAGGGACTACTAGCATTTGCAGGCCTACCCGGGCAGTGCCCAGCAGCCGGGGTGACTACATGACCATGCAGATGGGTTGTCCCCGTCAGAGCTACGTGGACACCTCACCAGTTGCCCCTGTCAGCTACGCTGACATGCGGACAGGCATTGCTGCAGAGGAGGTGAAACTGCCCAGGGCCTCAGCGGCTGCTCCTCCTTCAGCCTCCAAAGCCTCTTCTTCCCCTGCTGCACCTCAAGGAGCAACTGAGCTTCCTGCCCACTCTTCCCTTTTGGGGGGCCCACAGGGACCTGGGGGCATTAGCGCCTTCACCCGGGTAAACCTCAGTCCCAACCGCAACCAGAGTGCCAAAGTGATCCGTGCAGATCCACAAGGGTGCCGGAGGAGGCATAGCTCAGAGACCTTCTCCTCAACACCTACTGCTTCCCGGGGGGCCAACACGGTGCCCTTTGGAGGAGGGGCTGCAGTAGAGGGCAGTGGCGGTGGTGGCAGCAACAGCAGTGAGGATGTCAAACGCCACAGCTCTGCTTCCTTTGAGAATGTCTGGCTGAGACCTGGGGAGCTCGGCGGAGCCCCCAAGGAGGTGGCCCAAGGGTGTGGAGCTGCTGGGGGTTTGGAGAATGGTCTTAACTACATAGACCTGGATTTGGTCAAGGACTTCAAACAGCGCCCTCAGGAGCGCCCCCCTCAACCACAGCCTCCCCCACCTCCACCCCCTCATCAGCCCCTGGGCAGTAGTGAGAGCAGCTCTACCAGCCGCTCCAGCGAGGATTTAAGCACCTATGCCAGCATCAGTTTCCAGAAGCAGCCAGAGGACCGCCAGTAGCTCAACTGGATGTCACAGCAGGTGCGTTTCATGGTGTCAGATTCAGAAGACAAAACTGCTTTTAATCTTGTGCTAGATTTCTGTTCTTTGCCTCGGCTCCTTGTGCTCCTTCCCGCTACTCCCATAGGGAGAATGCTCTTAACTGAGAGTTGGTGGGTGGGTCAGGACACATGGATGCTCACCTCACAATGACTGTTGGCAGATAATCAACTGTGTGAGCAGCCACAGGAGGGCTTTTTCATTTGAGAATTCCCAAGTGAAATAACATACTGTAGTATTTTAAAAACTCATATGCTATAATACCAGTTCTGAGGTTTGTGAAGTTCATATATGAGAAACTTTATCTTTCTATTGAAGTTTTCTTTTGACCGTTTATTAAGGTCAGCCCTCATTGGGACAATTCTACAAAAATACTTGTTCACACAGAAGCTCAGCTCTTCACTAAAGATAGTTCTCAGAGCTCTGAAGGGCGATCTTACTGAGTTGCTGTGTGCACTTTTGTTCTGTGATTTCACAATACCAACGCAACATAAACAGCAACAGGAAGCATCAATTTTTATTCATGTTGTCCTAAAAAGACTCGGGAGTAAAAGCACTTTAGTCATACATATTCAGAGAGAAGTACTTATCTGCCTATGATCTCTTGAGAAGGTGATTATGGGTGACATTTTCTTTTTGTTCCTGTACCAGGAGTCGTGAAATATTTTTCACACAACCACCCATCTCACAGGCATGGCCGCTTTTATACAGGATATGCAATAAACTGCATGCGCCTGGGACCCATTACGAGTTAAGAGTTATAGAAGTTCATCCCTGCATGTCTGCCTAATAGTTGTCTCTTCTTGCACGGAACCTTCACATTTATCACTTGGGGGCTACTGTACATCCTCTGTAAAATTACTTAACATTTTTATGGTGAAAAGAAGATACATTAGGTCTGGGAAAAGGAAGTTGTTTTGTTTTGGTTTGCACTGAATGTAAGGGCTAAACTGTGTATTCTTTGCTCTTAGAATATTTGTTTTTTCAGTTCAAGAGTAGATGCCTCAGAAATGTTGAAAGTTGGCTTTAAGTCTTCTGTGGCTAAAGCTGTATTGAAAATGAAAAACATTTGTAATAGGAAATTAGCCTGCCCTCCATTCTGTGAATCTATTTTCTGGTGGTCATAATTGTGGGTAGAAGAGAGGAGTATAGTTTGCAAATAATGTGATGAGTTGGCAAAGCAGAAGTTTCAGCATTTGGAAACACTTTATTCTGACAAAATGATTATCTTGTGAATTTTATAAATGCTTACAGAAGGAGCTTTTAAAAGCATTTATTCTTCTTAATAGGTATCTGTTCACAAGTTAATTTGTGCTTTGGGGTTCCTATCACTAGTATTTGTGAATTATGTGGTCCCCTTCTTCATTCTGTGGTCCCAACACCTAACCCATATCATTCTCTGTTTTATAGAAGATACAGGTATTTGAATGTTCAAACTAAGAATTTAGGTGTTATGTTATGAAAAGTATTTATTTGATCAGTACTTATTTCAGCACTTTTTTCATCATTCACTAAAGAGAGATTTAGTTGCCAGTGTAAAAATTTTGATTATTTCAAATGATGTTTTTGGGTACCAGAATCCCTATAACACTTTAACCATTCCTATTGTAAAGTGCCTCATTTATATAATGAGAAACTTACCCAGAACCTAAATTTTGATTTTAAAGCAGATGAAAGAAAAGACTAAGGAACAGTGTTTTTCTCACCCATTTTCTTAATTTGTATAGGTTTATTTTATAGAGTAGAATAAATAATGTTTGTCCTGAACAAACAAACCATATAGAATTTTCATTTTTAAAAAGCTTTTTAAAATAAAATCCTCTTTATGTGGCAGATACACTAAAAAACAAAACCAAAAATAAATAACAAAACAACCTCCCAGTCTTCTATTTTTGACTTTCTTAGGGAAAATATAATATTCTAGAATAATCATATATTTTGTTTTGGTTTGCACTGAATGTAGGGGCTAAACTGTGGACCCTGCTTTAACTGCACCATGCCAGAAAAATTCTACAGTCTATGTTTTTAAGATACAAACGTGTTTTTTAAGTGGGGCACCAAATACTACCAGCTACATCCACATCCTCCATCCTGTTTGCTCGCCTTTGCCCTGTTGAGTTTAAAGATGTTATTGATAGTTAATCGTCGTCGTCTGAACTGAGCAGACCTATCAAAGGCAAACAGCTTCTGATCAGAATGCCCATGTTAGTTTGAGAAAACTGTTTTTCTAACTTCTTCCGCAATTGCTCTATTTGCCTTTTTCCCATTTTTCAGGTAAAAGTGCAGCATGATGAAGAGAATGGGGTTGAGATGAGGGAGGGCACTTTCTCCTGGCAACCTCTTGTAAACATCTCTGTTTGTCTCCTATTTCTCAGTGTCCATTAAAGGAGAACGTCTGTGTAGCCTTTAGCTCAGGTGCTCAGGACTTGTATCCAACAACCTTTTCTTGCTTCTCTGTCATCTGTCTCTCCCCCCAACTTAATTCCGACCTTCTAGGTGGTTTCCAGCACTACTCCCCTCCCATTTCCTTTGTTTCCCACCTCTTATTTCTTATTGCTGACATTGCCCTTGTTTTTCTCCTTTTCAGAATTTCGCTGTACAGTACTAGTGGCCTGCTCTCTGCAGGGGGTAAATTGAGATCTCAAGGAGGGCAAGCAGGACTTCTCAGCCTTAGGATAGCATCAGCCCTGCAACTTTCAAACAGCATTTACCTCAGATTTGTCTTTTGGTTTTAAAACTGCAACTGGCCAGATAAAGCAGGCTTTCTCAAGACCTGGGCCAGACCTCTGAGGTTCAGTTTTTGCTTTTCCTCACCCTTTTAAGCTCCTTCTCCCTTAAAAAAAGAATTTCGCCATTTCTCTTCCTTTCAGTATTTTTCCTTTCCGTGACTTCAAGGATTCCGGACCTCCAGGACTACCTCCTCAGGCCTCGCTCTGTCTCCCCTCTTCTCTTTGCTGTGTGGCCTTCAGAGGCAGAGCAAACCCTCTCAGTACTGGCACTTTCCTTTTTCTTGGGTCACCTCTGCTTCCTGCATTCCTCCCTTTTTTTATTTGGCATTTGGCCTCCAGTTTTGCCAGGGTGGGGGAAGATGCGGCGAGGCCACCCTCCAGCCTTCCGCCTCTGCCTGTCTCTGGGTCTGGGGGCTGCAGGGCCCCTTCCTAGGCAGCTTGGTAGGCGGTGGCAGGCTCACCCCGCCCC